TAAAATAAATATAAATTTTTTAAAACTCTTACTTTAAGTTCAGGGGATGTAACTTTTGATGTAGCCAGTTACCATTTAGGAATTTATCATATGGATTTACCCTACGAATTCAGTCATATCGATTCACTCAGATGTAAGTACACAGGTGTCATTCCTGGCATGGTTTGACATAGTACACACAAAGGGAAATGATAGAGACTGATCTAAAAATTATGGTATATCTGTGAGATGAAATAGTTTGTATCTGTTAAAAAGAATAAAGTAGCTAATCTGGAGCTAGACAGATGTCCACACTCTTGTAAAGAGGAAAAAGTTACAGAACATGGGCTAGGGAGTTATCCTTTTTTTTCGCCCCTTGTTTTTCCCCCATGCTGATCTAAAAATTATGGTTATCTATGAGATGAAATACTATATATCTGTTAAAAAGAAGAAGGTGGCCGGGCGCGGTGGCTCAAGCCTGTAATCCCAGCACTTTGGGAGGCCGAGGCGGGTGGATCACGAGGTCAGCAGATCGGGACCATCCTGGTCAACATGGTGAAACCCCGTCTCTACTAAAAATACAAGAAATTAGCTGGGCACGGTGGTGCATGCCTGTAATCCCAGCTACTTGGGAGGCTGAGGCAGGAGAATTGCCTGAACCCAGGAGGCAGAGGTTGCGGTGAGCCGAGATTGCGCCATTGCACTCCAGCCTGGGTAACAAGAGCGAAACTCCGTCTCAAAAAAAAATAAAAATAAAATAAAATAAATAAATAAATAAATAAATAAATAAATAAATAAATAAAAAGAATAAGGTAGCTAATCTGGAGCTAATCTAGATAGACATCTACACTCTTGTAAAGTGGAAAAAGTTAAAGAACCTGGGCTAGGGAGTTACTCTTTTTTCCCCCCCTTCTTTTTCCCCCATACTAAGAAGGACCTTTATCTTGGCTTCCCTTCCCTTTTCTCTTTCTAATTCCCACTCTTCCATATACCACCTTAGCAGGCATATTTTAAAAGACCTATTAGGAATGAGACCTTCCCCAAGCAAGACAAGCAGAAAAAAGGCAGAAAGAAGTGCAGGAGGAAGAAGTGAAGAGCCCAAGTGAACAGTCATGAAGGGGAGAGAGTTGAGAACAGCTGGGAAATGAATAAAAAGAATGCGGGGAGTGGGGCCTCTAAGAAAACATTCTGTGTATTACGATGAATCCATTGTTCATGTTTTCTGTGAGACCCTGGCAAAGGCTGGGATTACTGATTTACTTTCAATTCTCAGACAGCATGCGAAGACTGAGGTATATGGGGCTCTCCAATATATTCAGACTGGCTGCTCTCACACAGGACATTTTAGCAAAGAAACTTTTAGCCAAGCTTATCTTGAAGGAGTAGGACAACAGTTTGAAGATGAGGCTAATTTGTACCTTTCTGTCCTCTTAGATTGTCCTTCTATAAGCATATGCTAATCTCAAAACAGCTATGAACAGAACATGTGTGAATATACTCGGTCTTCTTCAAAACCCTCTGCACCTCATCATTCTCCAGTTCCTGAAATCTAATTTAATGAGTAATCAACGTACAAAAATTTTAAAACAATGTGTTCAATTTTGCATTTTTCTCTTTTTTTTTTTTAGGGGGTGGGGAGAAATTCATAGCCCATATGCTGGTACTACTAAAGACTGAGCAGACTTTCACGGGTTAGTCTGGGGACCTCGCCATTATCTGTAACCATGTTTAATAGGAAAATGCATCCCAAGTTTGGAACTACTAATTGGCTAATTCGCATTAGGCTAAATTAAACTTTTAAATAAAATTTATGAAGTATTTTAAAATTTTCATTCTGCTTAATGTTTAAAATGCTAAGGGACAGATGAGTTTGCATATATACTCACGTATATATGCCGATACTCTCAGAAGACGTACTATGAGCTAATACTAAACATAGTACATTTTGTTGTATGTCACTTATTTCTAACTTGCTTTGGGAAACATGAAGAACCTAATATTGAGCTGCATCATAAAAGCTGAGTAAAATCTTTTGAGTAAAAATAAATGACAGAGGAGCAGGAAGGGAGCTGAAGACAGTAATTTGGATAAAAGTGGAATAGGGGCACTTACTCCTCTAAGGTCAGCCATTAAAATTTAGCCAAGGTCAGGAAGGACAAAATCATCAAGAGACCTGACCTCCAATATATTGTTGCAAACAATATATTAACATTGTAAAACTGCTACAGCAGATGGCAAAGCAATCATCCCTTGGTAACTCATGCCTAGCTAACTGTTCATGTCCTTGGCTAAAGGTGAGCACAAAACCCACCTCCAGCATCTGCAGGGAGCCCATGCGGGGGCTGAGAGCACACAGCGGGAACTCCATCATGCATGTGGGAGGTGAATACCATTGCCAACTTCTCTATTTCTGCCTTTGTTCTAAAATTGCTAATGGGCTTGCAGAGTACCGGACCTATTTGCATATATTCCTTATTTGACCTCTGCCTGAGCTAAAGGGGGAAAAGGCAAAGCATGACAACATCTACCCTGCCCATTTCTCTTAACTTTGTTGGTTCTGGATTATTTATAGGCTTTTTCTCAACTACAGCTTTGAAAGCAAAGGATTCATATCTCAGTCATGTGAAGTGGATCAATGCAGACTGGATTTCTGAAATACAGACCGCCAGAAAGCAACTGCTGACACACTCCAGGGAAAAGAGACCAAGGGAGGCTTGGAAATTTGTCGCCCAGTGTAAGAACAGAGTACACACCTCCAGAGAGATTGTAACCTGCCAAACACCATGTAAATACAACCAAATGTTTTCCAAACATCATGGACTGTATTCTGACAGAGGACTTGCCTCACTTACAAGAAAGGTCTCTTTGTTTAAAGTCAAACTGCCAGCTACTAAGGGGTGAGTTAGTGCCTCAGAGAAGATTGCAAAATACGTGCAGAACAGACACCTCTGAAGGTGTGTGGTCTTCTTTACGGATGTGGTGGCCCAATTTAAGTGGCCTGAGCAGGGCAGCCTGGGTGTCAAAAGGAAAGTGAGGCTGAGGCAGGAAGAGTCAGTGCAGCGCCCGCCAAGACTCAAGAGCCAGCGGCTGCTGACGGGGGCCTGCAGGAAGAAGGGGACGCTCCAGTTTGCACCTTCTGCATGGAGTCTATCTGCCCACCCAGCAGTCTGTCATTTGGCTTCCTCAGAGCGAGCCCTGGAGTTCGGCGAAGTAACACTATCCACCCGACCTGCCTCTTGTTGCAACACTAAGGCTCAGAGATGAAGACTTATCTCTTTGAATGCAATTCATATTTTCTGAGAACCACAAGATTCATCACACTGAACAGGATTTCACCACTCATGGGAAAGTCTACAGTCTCAGCCCTCAAGGCAATCCCTGATGAATTTGATTAAAGCTGACTCACAGTCTGGATTCCACAGGCAGTGGAAGAAACCACATACAGAAGTCCTGAGAACATGCTCAGGGTCATGCTGGTGCCACTGGCTGGCCAGGGACCTCTGCCATCCACCTGGCCGGTACAGCCTTTGCCGTCTTGGGTTCCTCATGAACTCTACCAAGCTCCCGGCTCACAGCCGGCTTCCGAGACCAGGGACTCGCTTCTGTTCTTATGTTGCCCCTGGTAACAACTTCTCCCTGTTGTCTCGCGTGCAGCCACTCCCTGCCTGCTGTCCTACATTGCATCGATCTGGTCCTGGATTCTCCCTCTGCTTAGCCCCTTTGGGCTGACATGGTATTTGCACCATCTGCAAAGTTGGGAAATTAAATGTTTGCCCAGAATGCAGTACCTGTTCTCAGGGACCTCCTCCCTCTGCCATCTCTCCTAGTCACAGGTGCTTTCAAGGTCCCTTGCCATGAGCAGCCTTGTTCTATGCTAGAGACAGCGATTCCAACCTCAGATTATGGTTTGCATGTCTCTGTCCCTTTCCTATGACTGCTCTCAGTGTCAACTGCTAGAATTATGCTCTTAGCCCACTGCAAATCAGGGCGCAACGTCCAGCAGCGCCTACCTCTCACTGTCCCTCAATATGACAGTCCCTCTCCAAGCTAGAAAAACATCTCAGGGCGAAACACCTTCCAGTGTAGAAGAGCTGAGATCGGTCACAAAGCAATCACCAACAGTTCCTTCACTTAACTCAACGATAAGCTCAGGCAGGCGGTCTGCCTGCTGTCCTCCCTGGCTCACAAGACAAGGTGATTACGAAGGCAAATGATTCAAGTGAAAGCGTAAAGCCCAAGATAGAGAAGGGACCGATGATCCCTCCTGTCAGCCAGACCAGGACCCACTATCCCTCCTGTCAGCCAGACCGGGACCGACTATCCCTACTCTCAGCCAGACCAGGACCCACTATCCCTACTGTCAGCCAGACCGGGACCGACTATCCCTACTGTCAGCCAGACCGGGACCGCCTATCCCTACTGTCAGCCAGACCGGGACCCACTATCCCTCCTGTCAGCCAGACCGGGACCCACTATCCCTCCTGTCAGCCAGACCGGGACCGACTATCCCTCCTGTCAGCCAGACCGGGGCCGCCTATCCCTACTGTCAGCCAGACCAGGACCGCCTATCCCTACTGTCAGCCAGACCGGGACTGACTATCCCTACTGTCAGCCAGACCAAGGGCCCCATGTAGCCACCCTCACCTGGACCAGCAGAGGCCAGTGACACCGCCTCTCAAGCTAGGTCTGAGCCCCACGTCCCTCTCCAGCTCCCCCGGCACCCTGAGCCTGCCTTTGTCATTGCAAGCGCCTGGTTGGATTATAATCGTTGGCTTCAGATCGAGACCGCGTCTAATTAGTTTCTGTACACCCACGGTGCCTGACACATGGAAAGAACTTTACAGATGATGCATGAATGCATAAACGAATGAACAAAATAAGGCTTGGTTTTACACAGTGGCTGAGAGGCAGATGGGACTGCCCCACGCAAAGTCGTCATCAGAATGACTTCACAGCATCAATCCTTTTGCCCAGCGTAACGACGTCCTGGCCTTTACGTTAGCCCTCTCCCCGGGACTTGCCTGTAGGGCTCCATGGTCCGAGTGCCATAGAACAAGGCTTCCTCCAACAGGCCGAGGTTGATGCAGGCATCCATGGCGCAGTCGAGCACCTTCAGCTGGTAGATGTTGAGATCGGGAAGCCGTTCAGAATTGCTGCTTATGATCGCCTGGCACATGGCCAGAACCTGCTCCCACTCTGTTATTAACCTTAGTTAAGGATTCATTGTCTTCATCAAGAAAAAACAAAAGGAAAATTAGATCCTCTAGAAGGCTGGAGAGCTCCCAACACAGGAGGGAAGGAAGAGCCTGTTATTTTTCACAGATGAGCTGCCTGAAAACGCACTTGAGAAACAAAACACCCAAGTGGCGTCTCAGTGAAGGAAATTCTGTTTACATCAACAGACCGTCTCGTAGCCAAGCCTGCGCTTCAGAGTTTTACAACTTCCAGAGAACTGTCCTTTCTTCACACTCCTAGATGCACTCTCTTTCAATCTGGTCATAAATGAATGCAGTCCTTTGTTAAATTGGACTAAAGATTAAGTTAATTCGGTTTTAAATTATTTACTGTTAGCTTCTGTTTAAAAACCGATTTGAAATTAAAGAAGCTTTAGAAAGATTCCGTTTTGAAAAGGAAGAACTCATGTTTGCTTCTGTGTTATCTGAGTTTGGGGCATACATGAAACCAAATACACAACTCACAAGCACACACTAGGTGGGGCAATTTTAAGAGATCGATTTCTACTGGATCTCATTTTTTTTTATTAGAAAGCCAAAGTGACCCAAACCAAGTACATTAAAATGTCTTATTTTGAACCCCCAAAATAAGAAACAATATTAGGAACAGGGCTTCTGCACATAAATTGCTAGCAAGGGGAAAAGATGCTTTAAAAAGGATTGGAAGAAGACTCAACATCCACTCCTAACATTGACTTTCTGATTAACCATGAGTCAGTAACTTAATCTCACGTATCCTTGGTATGATTTCACTGTTGAAAACAGATATTCCCTGTCTTACAGAGGCAGTCAGAGGACTGAGGACATGGTTTACGGAGTGTGCTTTGAATTCCTCCCAGGGGAATTATGTGGGAAACAAGGCAAGCTGGAGAGCAGGACCCCGGGACCAGTTGCTTTCCTGTGCCCAGTGTTAGGCAAGGTAGAGACCAAGGAGGGTGCCGGGCTGGGACTGGCCCTTCTCTCACTCCTGTCCCATCTTCAACCAGTGGAGCTCCACATTTATCTGCATCACATGCTGTCATTACAGCAGGGGGGAAAGGCTTGAAGATCAAAAGCAGCAGCCTAGCCTTCGACTGCAGCAAAGCTATTCACATGTAAGCTAGACCTGCCATCTGTCAGATCTGAGGTTCTGAGGAAGTCAAAGTACTTTATGATAGGCCAGAAATAAAAATGACTCACGTCAACATAGAATTAGTAATATACTGTATGCAAAGTGACTCAATTCATTGTGTGTCCCATCATGAGCCAGGGAGAGCTCTGGGTGTCAGAGGCACAGCGGGAAAACATCTCCTGGCATGCGTAAAGGATATTCTGCATAAGCGTCATGCCCTCTGAGCCTGACTGGGCGTAAAGAAAACGTCTCAGTGGACTGAGTTTGATTGAACTTCGCTTCACACCCCACACCCCTCCCACTCCCACTTAACCCAGTCTCCTTGCAATCCATGCCCTCTGCATCATCCCCTGCCCCCAATTCTAAACCTTCTCCACTGATGTCCTAACAGAGCATGCCCAGCCCTGATCAGGAAGCCCACTGTAGATGCCCCCTTCTCCCTCTCTGTCCAGCAAAACCTGCCTCTTCGAGTGTCCATACCCTCTTTCCAAAACATTAGCAAATATTTCTAAAAAACCAGTCCAGCCATTCCTGAGAGTGGAGAGCTTTCACAGGAAACGTGTTTCCTTTCCAGCAAAGCCTCCAGGAGGGACAGTATCCTACTCCAAAAGATGAGTTCCTTGACGAGAATTTAAAGCACCACAGTGCACAGCTGAGAGCCTTTTATATCACACCCCTACAATTTGAGGATGAGTCCTGTCTTGGAGGAATTGACCCTGATCCCAGAAAAGATACATTTCCTGAAGAAAAGTGAGTCCATGATTTTCTCTCGTATTCATCTGACATGTATGTTTAAAGTTTGCAGAGTATCCCCTAGAGGGTGAGGAAGCAGCATCTTAGGCAAGGCACTGATTTTGTAACAGATTGCTGGGCTAACCTGTGGCTTTTCATTCCCGGCTTAGATATCTGATGAACTGTCAGGAGGGAGGAATGACTGTCTTTTACACAATGCTAGACATTTCTGCGGCAAGACTCGGACCTTATTTTAACATTGTGCTGTTTGACCTCTACTCTTATTTGCCTGTTCATTTACATACGTTCCAACTTATTCTAAAGAGGTTTCAGGTGACAAGCCTCAGAAGTAAAAGCCAGATGTGACATTCTGCAGCCACTCACAGGAATAGGTCTATTTTAATCCCCCAGCAAGCTGGAAGGGGCTGTGTGCCAATTTCCCTTCACAACACTGGCAACTGTCGCTTGGCACACAAGGCAAAACCTTTCCTGCAAAACACCCCAGTGAGCAAAAAAATGGAATAATTTTAACTAAGAGGCTTCCCCCCCCAATAAAAAAAAAACAACAACATGTATTTGCTCAAAGATTTAGTTCCTGGCACCTGTGTGGTGTTTACTCAAGTCACTCTGTTTCAGTAAGGAGCTGAGCTGTAGACCTCAGCAGGGCCTAGAGCCCTCCCAAGGACAGGAGCTTACCAATGGGCAGAACGGATACACTGTTTCTCCTGAATACTGTTAAGTAACCCTAAGAGAGTGGGGAAGGGGGTGGGGAGAAAGGGAAGCAAAGCAAATTCACTGGAGAATTAATCAACTCACTGAGACTCAAAGACTGTCAGACCACAGAGCTTCTATTCACTTAATCATATTACTCTGCTGCTTAAAAAATCATCCCATGGCCCCTGTCACCTAAAGTCTAGTTTGGGCAGTCATGGTCGTGCCCCCTCCCTCCTCTCATGCTGTGAAACAGCCGGAAACTTCTCAGCAGCACGGCACTTCACATTCCGCACAGGCCATTCCTTGCGTTGGGCTCCTCTCCTCTTGGTTGGCCTGGTGAGCTCCTGCTCATCCTCCCAGACCCAGCTCCTCCGTGAAAGCTTTTAACCTCCCAAAGTTGATTACTGCGTCTCTGATACCCCTGTAAGTCTGTATCTTTACCAAAACATATGTGAATCGGCATTTTACTACCCGACTCTGTAGGAGAGGAGTGAGCGCAGGGCTGTGTTTTCTAACTTCTGTCTGAACCATCGTGTGAATTATGACCAGCAACGTACCCAGCTTACAGTCCGTCTTCAGTAAAAGCTTGTCCCGTTGTAACTGAACTGAGGCTGGGCTGTCCATGGGCCCCAAGGCCGCTGCACGCAGAACAAGTCTACTTCTGTGTGCACAAAGGCTCTTCAGCCCGTGTCGAGGGACCTGCTGCTTCCAGTGTCTCCCATCTCATCATAGACGAGGTTTCAAATCCCTCTTTAATTTCAGTTCCACCCCTCAAAATAAGTTTGTTTTTCTAAACCCCCTATTAATACTTCTCACCTCAAACTGAATGGAAATTTCTAGAAATAATCGGACCGATACTATCATCTCTATCATTTCATAATCTACACGAATGTAGCCCAAGAGCATAGTAGTCTTTAAGATCATACTATACTCTTAAATGTTGTTAAGTTTTGCTATTTACTGAAGCCCTAAATTTTTTTTCACATGTTCTTATGCATATTTATATACTTGAACTTTTTGATCCAAATAGAATGTTCATATACGCCCTTGTTACATTTCACCTCTTTAAAACCTGAACACCATTTAAACCTTTAGGGATATTTTGAAGTCTTTTCTTTTGAGATGTCAATTCTAGCCTCCCCCCTCTGTTAGGACCGGCCTTCCCTTCCCCCTACCACAGTCAACTGGAAAAACCCCAACGACAGTGGAAAAGTACTACCATTAATGTTTAGCTAGTTCCCATATGAGCTGGTTGCAAGCCCCCATCCCCTTCCTTCCCTTATCGCGGCAGGCCTCAAAACCCTCCTTTGTTAGGAGATAGCCGGTAAGCCGCAAGAAACTCCGCCTGAGAAAGAGCACATCCCTTCTCTTGCTCAACGGCAGTGGAAAATTACTGCAGCCTCTTCTACCACAGTATAAAAAGCCTGTCTCCCATCGCCTGCGCGCAGCCGATCTACTCTCTACCCCGGTGTTCGGTCCGCCCGGAGCCCTCCCCAATAAAGCCTGAACGCCTAATTCACCTGGTCTACTCATTCGGCCGTCCCTGGGGGAACACGAGCAGTAAGGGGTGGTCGGACTTATCGGACAATTGGTGCCGAAACCCGGGAGAGGGTCAGTTGACCCGCCCCAGGCCTCTGAGGCCGGGCGACGGTCCCCCCTCTCACCCCCATCCGCCTGTCCACCCCCCATCGGGTTGCCATCGCAAGACTCCAGACAAGGTAAGACTTTAACTTACCTTCTACCCCTTCTTCTACATAAGGCTAAGGCAACCAGCTTCCCGGCGCCAGTCCACATGGACTCCTCGCCCTAGACTTGGCCAAGCCGAGGCAGTCCTCCATCCGACTCCCGGAGTCTTCCAAAGAAAGGGGTAGCCAGACGGGGACGCCTCTCTGACTGCTCACTTCACTAACCTAACCCTAAAGGGAATGCAACGAGAAGGGACGCCTCCTCCTTGTCTCTTCCCTCACTGGCACTGGCTAGCTTTGCAAGCCATGGGGAACTCGGAGTCTAAAATAGACCCTAACACCCCCTTGGGGTGCTTGCTCCAAAATTTCTCAAAGTTAGGCTATTCTCAGACCCTGCGGAGAAAGAAATTAACATTTCTCTCTCAGGTCGCATGGCCCCAGTATAATCTTAACAACCAGTCTCATTGGCCACCGACTGGTACTTTCGATTTCAACGTATCACGGGACCTCAATAACTTTTGCCGCCACACCGGGAAAAACACTGAAGTCCCCGATATTCAGGCTTTTTGGGACCTCCGTTCCCGCCCAGACCTTTGTTCCTCATGTTCTGCCCACCAGATCCTCCTTGCCCAAACTCCCCGAAAAGACCCTGCCGCAGTCTCTGAACCCCCACCGTACACCCCCCTTTCTGATGAACTCCCCAAGCTCCTTTCCCCACCA